ATGAAAATGTTTTTAGATTTCTGTTATCAAATTTATCTGTGACATAATTTCTCTATATCATTACTTCTCTACTTTTGTATTATTAGAACTCTACATCCTATTATCTTATAAGATTAGAGCTTTAATAATAATAGGTCTGGTTCCTTAAAAATTTTACAAAATTCAAACTCAATTTAATAAAACCCGAATCTGTCTTGAGTAAAACAAATTAATTTGTTTTGACTTGGCCAGGTTATTAGTTAAAGTTGACCGACTTACTCCGATCTAGATTTTATGTATATGTAAATATATTTTATATGCTTGAAGTTAGAAAAATATATTATCTATTGTTGCAATGGTGATATGATAGAAAAATTCTGCAATTATAATTTATTTAAAAATAGGAGTCTTCATCAATTCTTATTATGTCAGCACATCTAAACACTTAATAATAGATATTTTAAATTTATTTTTCAGTGGTTATCATACATCAATATTTATCGATTATAGCAAAATAATAATGTAAGCAAAATACATGAGGCACTCTTCTGAATTATCCTGAGTTTGGTTCTGATTCTCCTGCTTTAAAAACAAAATGTGAAACTTGGTAAGGAAAAGGCTATAGTCTAACAGCAGATGACGTGGAAACTAAGGATATTTTCTTTAACTTTTTGGTTACCAAGGTACTGCCAATTCCTACTGAACTTGAGCAATCAAAAAGGTTTGTCAAAACACTCTTGAAACACGTTTTTTATGAAACTTAGAATTGAAACCCATATTCAATTGACAAAGCTTTTAAAGACGTTTTGAATAGGAAGAATCAATTCTGTTTATTAAGTTTAAACCTTAATTAAACAGGTTGAAACACCTTACAATATGATTAAAAAAAGACAAAATTCACTTAAATCAAAGAGAATTATTTTTTTAAAATTTTTCTACCATGAATAATCCGAACACCCATATATATAGGGTCATGATCTAGTCAAGTTATGATAATTCATAAATATCATATTCCTAATTGAAAAAGAAAATAGAAATCCTAACTTAAATAGGATTAATATCCAGTCAAAAACAATGCTTACTTTTAAAACCAAACTCCTTATTAAAATAGGAAATACAAAATTAAAAAAAAAAAAAAACAAATCTCTTAAAATAGACATAAATTAGTCCAAGACTATAAAGACACTTTCTTGGTAAGCAAGCAACTTGAATGTAAGAAACAAATCTCTTAAAAATAAACATACATTCGTCCAAAATTTTAAGGAAAGCTTCTTGGTCAGCAAGCACTTGAATGTAGGCTAAAAAAAAGAAGCTACTAGGGCCCAAGCAATATACATGGGCTGGTCATAATGAAAATAAACTTATTGGAGCCCAAGTAATCAAAATGATAACGCTGAACTACTTATATAATTGTTATTAATGTATCGTGCAAGCTATTATCTTCTTGAAGTTCAAAACACAGAATGAACTTGTAATCCAATTCGGCTTAAGCAAGGTCATGGTCCAAAGACCTAATTAAATGCACCAGATTATTGGATATTGTCTCCATTACTCGGTCCAGGATAATTAGGAAGCATCATTTACGCATAGCTCTGAATATTGGTCTTCAATTATTTGAAAATACTTTTAGTAATTGGACCAGGCCTTAATGTTAGGCAATCCTCTTGATTTGCCTTGACATCCCCATCAGCACAAGGGAAAAATCGAAAACAATGTGCAGCCAACTTTAAGAATTTCAAAAATGCTATACCAAAAACTTGCTAAATTCCGAGTAAAAAGTTTATTTTTGAATTTTAATTTTTAATAGGATGAATATTTCTTCATTTATAAAATTATTAATAATTTGAGGGCTGAATGAAAACAATATTAATAATTTATTTTTTTTTAATTTTCAATTCTTATTAATTTAGATTTCTTTTGGAAATTCTACACGGACATTCAAATTCTATTTATGATTTATTTATGGATCCAATTTTTACTAATATTTTATTTTAGTGCATAAACACATTGTCACTAGTCGAAAATTTCTACTATTTTATTAATATAAAAATATCACTTTTCACTTTTTGTTGTTTATACATACACTTTCATATACAAAATTTCATAGCACACTGAAATTTAATTTTACAATACTACTTTTAAACCATTATCAGAGAGGGCAGACGAGTTGTTGATTACTAAATGGATATATACGTAGATAACGAGTACACATTACGAAATGTCACGACACTATATTCGCTAAAGTGGCCACTAAATGAATTCTCTGCAATATTGGATGACACACATATTCATCTATCTACATGGAAGAGTTCACCATCATAATGCCAAATTTCAGCAACACACGCGAAACCCCTCCGTGATAGATAGTAAAACATATTTCACAATTTTTATTTCTCATTTCAGAAGTTTTAAAATTTTTACATTAACCCTTTAAACTCAGGATCTTTATTGTTATTCACAATATACTATCATTTACTCAAATTTTCATAATATAATATGAGCTTTGTCCCAAGTTATGTTGATGGGCTCCCACTAAGTCTTAAATACATGATCGTTATAAAATGAAATCAGTATACGAAAGAGAAAAGAATATAAAATCTATTTAATTATTTTATCTGAGGGATTTTTGTCTTTATTTAACTCTATATTTAAAAATGTTAGTAAACTGCTCCCTATGAATGAGATTAGCGCTCCCTCCAATGAGAGTGGATTTGTGATATGATATGTAGGGGTCATAGTAGTGAAGTACGATCGTGGTTATTAGTTTGCACCCAATATGGAAACGGAGCTAAATGTCATTCATAATGGTAATTAGAGATCCCCTCTACCCTCAGTAGATATATATCGGAACGGTTTCATGCAGAGGTCAGTAAAAAATCTAAATATAGCTCAACTACTCGATAACATGACTAAGATAGTTGTTGATGTATTATGGTGGATTTGTATTATTGTTCTTTTATATTTTATTATGATTTTGTTATGCTCATGGTTGGTTCAACTAGTTTCAATTTCAATGCCTGACTATGTCTTAACAATCTTGTTTTTCCTCTCTGCCTTTACTGTTTGGTATGTTAACAATGTTTAAATGATTTTCTTGAGAAAGATAAAGGTTTTTTTAAAACACTTAAAAATAAAGTCATCTTATGACCAACAGCTAAGATATGTCATTTATTAAGGATGTTTTAATTCAAAAGTTAATCACCTTTGAAAACCTTAGTATTATAGTATAATACTATTTTTCTTATTGAGTTATGTGGAACTCACCTTAATTCATGTCCCCCTCAGATGATAGAAGTGATGATTTGCTTGCTGAGTTGCCCTTTAAATCTTATTTGGATCCCTTTATAGATCCCTAAGATAATTACGAGTGCCATATTTTGTCCGCTCTGATGGACCCAGTTGTAATGATATAAGTGACTTTATGACTTTTATGTGCATAAATTTTGGTAGCCATTTTCTTGACCTCAGTTGTAAACATTAAACTTATGTTTTCTTGTTTGAGATTATATTTTCCACTACATACACATATTTTATTACTTGTATTCGTATATTTTTTTATTATCAGGTCTTTTTTTACCCCACCAGGTATTTGGGATGTCATAGAATATACGTAGAATTTTTTTAAAATTTAGTTTTTAATTTCTACTCGGATTTGTAAAGTTTATGTCTATATAAAGGTTTTGATCCTTTAGTTGTAAACAAATCAGTCTATATCAATAAAATTTCAAGTTCTTTTTCAACTTTTAACTTTTAGCTGTTGTGAATGCTCTTTAGATAGATTCTTCAACCATCTCGTTGAGTGAAGAATTAGTTCTACTTATCAAGGTAACTCTTATGATGTCTTTCAACTGTCGTGCGAATTATAGGGAGGATCAGGGTGGTCCTCTCTATGTTGGGCTACAACAGCGAGGCCTTTTACAACACAAAAGAGCTTGTTGAAATCTTGCTGGCTAGGGCGTTGCGGGATTGGATGTCTATCTACGAGAGGCCTTCTTCTTCTCATTTTCCTTTTCCTTACACCCAGAAAATTAAAATTTTAAGTCATCTCAAAATTTTCCTTCTAACTTAATTGGTTTAGAACCCTAAGCCTTATGTACAAGGGATGCCCTATAATTGTGTGCCCGGTACCACCTATGACGTCCTACAGTTTCGTAAAGGCACAGACGTCAATACACACAAATACTTAATAGTATATACTTTAAATTTACTTTTTAGCGGTTATCATACATCAACATTCATCTCTTGTAGCAAAATAATAATGTAAGCAAAATACATAAGGCATTGACATTTAAATATATTCACAATGGTTCCAAAATAAAGTGTTCATAATAACCTTAAATTTTTCTCTAGTTAATGATCAAAACCTGCTCTTTTGAATTATCCTCTATTGTTCTTGAGTTTGGTTCTGATTCCCCTACTCTAAAAATGAAATGTGAATTAGGGTGAGTTTCACAAACTCACTAAAAAATAGACAGTAATATAATAACATAAGGAAAAAACGAAAAATTGTATACAAGCAACTTTAAGAATTTTAAAAATACTATGATAAAAACTTGTTAAATTCCATGTAACAAATTGATTTTCAAATTTTAATTTTCAGCAACAAGAATATTTCTCTGTTTTTAAAAATATTAACAATTTGAGGGTTAAATAAAAATAATATTACTAACTTAATTAGTTTGATTTTTTTTTTCTGGTGTGGAGGAACCCTTAAAAACTTTCAATTCTTATTAATTTAGATTTTTTTCCGAAATTCTATGTGGACATTTAAATTCTATTTATAATTTATTTTCAGATCTCATTTTTTCTAGTATTTTACTTTAATATAATAATACATTGTCATTAATCGAAATTTTTTACTATTTTACGGATACACAATTATCATTTTTCAGTTTTCACTCTTTACACATACACTTTCATATGTATACTTTTCATATCATACTAAAATTTCATCATATGATGTTGCTCTCAGACTACTACCAAAGGAGACAAATGGGTTCGTTGGCTACCACTATGGATGGTAGATAGATAATGAATATGGATTACGAAATGCCACTATAATATATTCGCTAAGATGGCCACTAAACAAACTCCTTCCAATATTAGATGGGCACACACATTCATCTATCCATATGGTAGGGGTTCACCAACATAATATCAAATTTTAGCCACACATGGAACTCGTCCATGCTAGATAACAAAACAGATTCCATAATTTTCGTTTCTCTTTTTTAAAGTTTTAAAAAAATTTCTTGAACTCTTGACGCTAAGGATTTTTACTGTTATTGATGATATATTATAATTTATTCAAATTTCTAATCCCTTTTTAACATTATTTATAAAACTCTAAATTTCAGTTTCTTACTTCAAATTTCTTCATTATTTATTTATAGATGTCTTCTAGATATTTTAACATGCTATCATTTTAATTCCTTTAAATTCTTACTCCTGGCTTATAAATATATTCTAATTATATGTATATTTTTTTGTAGAATTTTTTCTTACTTTATACTATATCCCCTTAGAAATTATTTGCCTCTTAAATTTACTATTTTAAATTTTTTCTTAACCTTTTCTATAATATATTATTTCCTCTTTCCTTTTACCTTACATTGTGATTAAATTTAGATTGTTTAAAATTCTGGCCTTTTGATGTTAAATTTTCTTACTCATCTTTTCCTTATGTGGTGCCAAATTCATAGCAAATCGAAGACTTTTCAACTTCTATTGTTTCACCAAATTCTTTCAATTTAATATTTACAAAATCCTTTACTAGTTTAAAAATTTATAAACTAAATTTTATTTTCTTTCAATTAATCCTTAATTATCTTTATACTTATTTTTAAAAGTTGGGGTACCAAAATTAATCCCAATTATTTTATCAAAATTTCCAAATTTGGGTCTTTATGAATTTCTCTTTTAATTTAATAAATTTCCAATTTACATTTTGTTTCTTTCAATTTATCCTAAATTTCACATGGTTTTATAACATCATTTCCTTACTAATTTATTTACTTCAATTTCAGCAAAGCTTATTTCTCAATTTAGCATTTAATAAACCTGATTTATTATTCTTAAAAAATTTTGATTATTCAAATCTCATCATTTTTGTTCTATTTGACTTAAAACTTAGTGATTGACCTTAAATTATGATTCTAAACACACACGCATATATACAATCACACACACATGCATATATACAATCACACATACCACATACACAAGACAAGCTCAAGGGTGTTCTAACTATCACATATTGTGATTAAATTCAAATTGTTCAAAATTCTCAAAATTCTCGCTTTTGAATGTTAAATTTTCTTACTCATCTTTTCCTTCTACAATACTAAATTCATAGCAAAATGAAGACTTTTTAACCTCTATAATTCCAAAATTATTCCTATTTAGTATTTACAAAATACTTTACAAGTTTAAAATTTTTATAAACTAAATTTTCTGTTCTTTCAATTAATCCTTAATAATTTTTATACTTATTCTTAAAAGGTTCCAAAATTAATCCTGATTATTTTACCAAAATTTCCAAATTTGGTTCTTTACAAATTTCTCTTTTAATTTAATTAAATTTCTAATTTATATTTTCTTTTTTTTTAACATATATCCTAAATTTCACCTTGGTTTTATAGCTTCATTTCCTTACCAATTTATTTATGATTACCTTGTTACTTTAATTTCCTCAAAATTTATTTCTCAATTTAGCATTTTAAAACTTTGCCAAAATAAAATTTGATATTTTTTCCATTTTTCTTTTTTTTTTTTACTTTCTTAATTTATCATACCTCCTCTTTTTACCAACCTCCCTCACAAAAATTGTAAATTTGACCAACATTCATCACCAGTTATTCACAAATTTATCATATTCATCATCACAACAACTACCAGAATTAATTGGGCCAAAAATAGAAAGGAAATTAAACGTTAAATTCTCATATAAAATTTTTTAGGCTTTCTCTAGTGGTTTAATTTGCATGGTTTAACATAAAACTCATAAAAACTATATTTTTTGGTAGTTTTGAAACACAAGGGTGCTTTGGGTGCCTAAAAACAAAAGCAAATTTGGTTAGTAATCATGTCAAAAATCATAAATTTCTATATGTTAAATGACTACAAGATTCTTACCTTGAATTTGGCCAAATATTGCCTTGATTGAGCGACTAAAACTCACCAAATTTCCTCCCCAATAGTCATTCCCAACCTAAGCAGGAAATGAGCCCGATTTTGGCTCCTATTACTCTACAATTTTCGTTTAAATTTTATATTTTTTCTCTAGATTTTTTTTAGATTTTTTCTTTTGTATTCATGTTATGAATCTGGCTGATTTTCTAATTTCAACTTGATTATTGCTATGATCAATATAGAATGTGGTGTTTCGTGGATAATGATTCTCATTTGGAAAGACCTCATGGAATGCTCTTGGTAAGAC